GTTCAGTTAAACACCTGCTTACCTCTGCACTACCACAGATGATGGGTATCGTTTAGATTTTAAATTAGCACAAAGTCATAATAGACTTGGTGATGTAAGTGTGATCGTAAAGAGTGATTATAATTTCCTAACACATTTTACAAGAACCGAAACCAACTGCTGCGTAGGAGGCCAAGTGTGAATCTAAATATGTAAATAAGCTTTGATAAACAAGCCGCAATAATTTAAAGTGTCTAATATGTTAAGTTTAGAAAGTAAAGACGTCAAACTGACCAGGAAGTCACACTCTTCATCCACAGCGTACTTGGTGAGGATTTCCACCCAGGCCATTTCAACCAGTTTGTCTAGAGACACTGTGTTGTGGTGGACCATCTCCAGGACTGGCTTCTCAAACCACTGGGGATACTCCTCCTGAAGCCTGCACACAGAAAATGATCAGCAGTTAGTACTACAAAGTTTTAACAATATATAAAGATGAAGTATAATTTAGTTTGTGCCTTGCAATCCCATCATTAGCATGTTCCACTTTATTCAGTATAGACTGAGACACTGGTTTTACTGTCCTGATGCTCAGCAAACAAGGTCATTACCACATCAGACATATACTGAATTTGTTCATGGGTGTGATGCACTCTGTTCACGACATAATTTCTGTCTTATTGTTTGGATTTCTGCGATGCATTCGTCACTGGGAGCCGAGCATTACATAACAGGGCAACAAAGGGATGAGAGTGACCAGTAGGGGGAGTAAAATCTCTTGGCTGTTATAATTAGACAGGGCTTAAATACAGCCTGTGATCCTGAGCGGCATGAGCTCTGGGCAGCTGAGCAATGCTCTGTCCTGTCTTTGCTGTGACATCTCCGTGGGCCACATATATAGTTGGGTTCACCTTCCTCTGACTGACAGCACGTATACACACACAGTATATGTAAACCCAGGTGGTGATAAGCGGGCTGACAATGATCAGCTGAGCTATTCTGCATCTTTTATGACTATGCTCTTCACTTCTACAGACCAGGATAAAGGAACTCTCACCAGGCTATTGCAGATTCAAGGATGACTCAATCACACACCCTCTAAATAGAATGAGAGGAGGAGCGCCAGATTTATCCAATCATGGCAAAGCAGCAAGCCTTGTGACCTTCACTGGGAGAGTATGGCTCCTACGTGACACTCCTGAGCTGCTGTTAGAGAGGCTAATCTGCAGTTTTAGTCATCTAAATAATGACTGGTGGTATATATATTTACATATTAATGCGAACCAGAGCTTTACTGGACATCTGAATGCAAAGCACTGCCATCCTCTCAAATGTACCTGTGTATTCTTCACAGAACTTTCACAACAGCTTATCCATAGAGACCGTGGACTGTAATTAGACAGACCTATGGCTCTTATTTCACAAGTTGGATAAAATGCTGTCCATGCACAAACTCTGGATGTCATACTCACAGCTCTGTAACTTCTTGTTCCTCCTCCCATGCTTCTTTGTGTGTGAGCTGGCTGCTTCCAGTGCTTTTGCATGTCCAGATGCGCTCGCTGTACCTCTTCAAGCGTGCCTCATACTCTCTGTAGGCATTTTGTCAAGGAAATTACAACAGTCACATGCAAACAGTTTCTCCATGTTGTGCTTACTAATTACAAGACAAACATGGTCCATGGAGAAATTAATGGCACTGATGTCAGTGATGTAAAGAGAGGCTCAGGCCAACAAAATCTTAATGTGTGGATATACTCCAAGAAACAAAAAAGTCTGCACATGGTGCCTTAACGATGCAAATCTGGAAAAGGGAAGGGGCGATGGGGAAGAATGATGATGGAGAGGAGGGCTGGAAAACAGTCCTGGCTACTTAAGATGAACAAAGATTCTGTGGAATAACTTAGAGGGAAACTACAGCCATTTTAAAATTCATATGTTATACCTATGGTCTAAGACAGTGGTTCCCAACTGGTGGGTCGCTGTCCAAAAACGGGTCGCAGGCTTATTCTATATGGACCGCAAGTGACTCACAAACATGTACATGCTTTATTCTTAAGTAAAGTGAATTTCCAGCACAGAGCTTTAAAGTTGAAGTGTGATTCCTGCTGTAGAGTGAGTGACTAATGGCCAGTTACTCAACAGAGACGGCAAACTAGCTCAACGACATGGCGAAGCAAGTATGACACTGAATGTATCAAACTGAGGGACCTCAAAATAACGACTAAGGAGTAATCTGGACCCTGTGGCAGGACCAGTTGGGAACCACTAGTCTAAGATAGTCCAATAAAAAATTAACATGAGCAATTCTTTCCCAATTCCAAAAACTAGAGTGGTAAAACTCAAATTTGTGATGTCATAGGGTATAAAGTCTAATGCTGCTCCATTTACAATGAATTGGGAAAGATGTTATCGATGACCACACCCAGGGAAATGTTTCGAGTCCATAGGTGCACTTTGTTTCACAACTGAGAACAGTATATTAGAATAAAGCTCATTTGGAGCCTTATTTCATGGGTTCACGAAATAAGGCTTACATTCATTGTCTATGGAACAGCTCCAGACTTATACCTTAGGACATCACAAGTTTGAGACTTACCTCTCGTGTTTCTGGCTTTGAGTAGCTCATATTCACACACTTACTGAACTTTCTAGGCCACTGACATATTGGAAATCTGAATTTAGGTGGAGTTTAGCACACTTCTTAGGGTTGCTGATGAGAATTAAGAGTTTGACTGCGTTTCCTCTGATCATTGTAAAACTACAACAATTAAGTGAACCACATCTACAAAGCCAATTCTCTGTTACTATAACTGCGATGGCGGGGAAAGGTAGATGGGAGGCCTGTGCCTCAAACAGCCGTTGATGGGATGATAGTCAGAAGTTAAAGTGTACAGACAATCAGTCAAGTGAATTTACACAGCTCTATCACTGTAGGAATCCAAATCTACTTGAACTTATTACTTAAGCTGCCATAAAAAGACCTAAAGTCCACTTTCCGCGCTACGTGTGTCACACTGAGCTGTCATAATCTTGCTGACAGTTACGGACGTTAAAAGTTTTCACATTAACACCAAAACAAGTGGTTAAAGCTACCTAACTATCACACCAGAGCCACGCTATCTACACAAAAATGTTGCCTTAAATCAATAAACAGTACTAAGTCAACAGTTGTATCCTCTTGGCAACTCAAAAACACAAATGCACCGGTAACGTTAGCTAAAGCTAGCTAACTCCAAAGAGGCTAACGTTAACTGCTAACTATCCAGCCGAGCAACATCCTCAGCCCGTACAGGCAGACGGCTATTGTGACATAATAGGATACCTAACGTTAGCGGCTTGCTAGCTAACCCTGCTAGCATTGGTAGCTGACAGCGGGGCGGTGGAAGCTGAAAGTGAAAGGACGGTTTTTTAGCAGCTTTTTATATTTAACTAAGCATGTGACTTGTTTTATGTGCTACATAAAGTGTAGTTGTTTTGCTTATCGAGTTAGCCAGCTAGCTACAATGAGCTGGTTAGCAGAGCGGTTGGAACGCTAGCTAGCTAGCAAGCCTGTCATCCAGAGTACACTGTGTACATGCGGGGGGGAAAAATAAATGGGGAGGAAATTGTCAGGTAGCATCAAAATAGGTACGTTAGGCATCTCTACAGTCCTGTGCATGTGACTATGTAGGCAACAATTTAAGGTAACCAGGTAGACAAAGCCACTTATACAGCATGCCGGCTGGCTCGACAAATCGAGACTGAGCATCAGCATCATGTTGAAGGATACTCTTTGTTCCTGAAGGCCTCCTTGGTGTGCTCGATGATGTAGACCTCCTCTCCCGGGCCTGGTGGCTCGGTTAGCGGCTTAGCCAGTGGGTAGGGTTTCCGGCCTAAAAGCGGTGCCATTGCAAATCCAAAGATGGCACGGGTGCCAGTGGTAAAATCAAATCTTCTAGCAACAAACTAGCACAGTAATATACAATAATATGTCCTTAGCATGTATGCAAGCGACCCGAAATATCTTAGCACGTCTCACGTTACCGCCGGCAGGCCCGGCACTCAACGTGTAGCAGCTAAGTTAGCCGACTAGCTAGTAGGCTGGATTGCTATCTCGTTGCAAAACAATAACAGTGCGGTTCTTGCCACCAGCCTCATCGCATCCTTCTTCTCTCATCTAGCAGCAGTGCCATGCTGATTTCACGCGACGTCTTGGATGTTAAACAGGTTGCCGGACTTGTCTCTCGGTGTAGTTAGTAAACTTTTAGCTCCTCCGGATGAACATGAAAGGATGCAAACCCACACCGAAATCAAACTCGCGGCAACAGCCAAAGCTCAGTTCAGCGGGAGGTCTGGCACGTTGTACAATCCCAAGTCTTTGCAAACTAGGCCTGTTCTCGCTTCATCAGTTGTGCTCGCTGCATGTTCGCACTGTCGGAGCTTCTTAGTATCAGATGACAGAATAAGCAAGTGTTAAGAAAAAGTAACGTGGATCAATCAAGAGGTTAATTCCTGTCGAAATGGCGGGAGTTTCTAGTCCACCGGCACAATTCCGTACACCCTCGGAACTCCGTTTCCCCGGCAGCAAGCAGCGTCGCAAGCATGTCCCGCCTCCTCTTGACATTCATTGGCTCTCTCTGGAACGCGCCTTCATCAAATTGTTCTAACAGTCTCTCATTGGTTGATCTGGCCTGTCTATTGTCAACTGGATCAGCCCCTTCAAGTAAACCACGCCCATACTGAATATAAATGAGAGGCTAGAGGTCAGCTGATGACAAGATTATATGATCTATTTAACTCCTTAATATTAAAATACATTTAAATATTTGGTATGTAGAACATTTGTTTAAACTGCAGTGGCATTCATTCCTCAATGAATCATCAAATGAATGTCTTAACCCATTGTCTGGGCTCCATTTTGAACAGGTCTGATTAAACAATAGGCCCTGCCTTTATGATACAATACAGTACAGTACTGTGACTGAATAATACATTATGGTGAACACATACCGACCTCACAGTATCAATGAATTGAAACTGAATTGGAAAGTAGCATTTATTATGGTTTACAACGCTGTCAAATATAAACATGGGCAAATTATATTATAAATATTTCAATAAGCATTTTTTTTCTTGCATGTGAAAAGCCAAAATAAGATCTGTTCCAGAAAGGGCGTCATGTTTAACAGAAAATGGCACATCTACACATCAATCTGCAGAAAGCTATGCATTTAACACTTTTTCAAAAAGACCTGTAAACCTCAAAAAACAAAGCGATAGGATGTGGAAACATGCAAAAGTAAAGTTGGACTGCATAAATCGGAAACAGTTAGTCGCCAAAAACATTTACAGCATGTGAAGTGAAATACACACTGCCTGCAACAGCAGGAACTTGCCACACAAAGTTTGAAAAATCCTCTCGATTCGTTTCAGGAATCACTTAAAACAGCAGACTTGAAATACTTTTAAAAGTGAACAAAGATTTGCAGTAAATATTTTTTTTCCTCATTTGCTGAAATGTAACATTTGCGTAAATAGGTCAAGACGACCTTGGAATAATTTCGAAAAGCTTAGCTAATCTGATTGAGGACAGGTATCATGTGCATTTTGACAAAATTACTATAAATGAGCTATCTCAGAGCAGCATTTTCTCCTGTACATATCTTCTTTAAAGGGGGTGCTCCTGATTCATCCAGTTCCTCCTGTTGAATAAAAAAAAAAGAAACATATTTAAGCAACTCTACTTAGAATTTGCATCAGTTATACATCATGCAACAACAGAACCCAGAAATAAAGATTAAATTCTTATATAATGGAGGTAAATGTGTGGTGTTCTTTCAATCTAATGTCAGAAACTGAACCTGTGTGTCTGGGTTGCTTCGTCTAACAGCTCCTGATGAAAGAAGGTCCTCCTTGATGAGAGTGGGAGGCTCATCGGCTCCCTCCTGTCCTGAATGAACCGGCTCTGCATTCACAAGAAAGATATCCTCATTTAATCCGGCTTTGACAGTGAAAGTATACAGAGACTGTACAGGGCACAGCTCAGTGTAACTGCTTATAATCGTCACCACTGAGGTCTTCTGACTTAAATGCATCCATTGTGTGCAGCTTTTTAAAATTACAGGAATAATGTGTACGACTGTGTGACAATATGGTTAAGAGAGCCATCCACGTACCATCCACACTCTCCTGGCCCAGCATCGGTGGCTGAGAGTCTTCAGCCCGGAGGCTGGAGGTATGTGGAGGGCTGACCTGCTGCGAGCTGGAGGTGCTGCTGCTGTTATCCATTTTAGGCTGGTAAACGTCTGACAGAAAGCTCTGGTTGCTGTTTTCATCTGAGGCGGAGAGCACAGCATTTAAACATCAAGTGTGTGATATTTTGTCAGATAATTATGCATGCAGTGTCTCCAGTATATTACTGAATACAATCACTAAACTCACCAGTGAAATCCAGTAAGGAGTTAGTGTTTTCCAGGACCACATCTTTCAGTCCTCTAGCATCTCCACCTGTGGATTTGGTGCGATATATCTGATAACAAAGAGAGGCAAGGATCAGACTATTTACTGGATTCATTTCAGTAAATGGTGATTTCATTTGTACGTGGCAGAGGCGCCCACCTGCTTTGTTTCTGTTACAGGCACCCACTTGAATATGCGTAAGGACGTGTCTCCAACTGTCACCCATTTCTTCTCCCTGGGGATAAGATGAGTTTTCTAAATGAGCTCTGTCCATGTCTAACACGACACCATCTGCTTCAGCAGCGTTAATCTGTTACATGACATACAATGAAACATGCTCGTGTCCTCTCTGTCCACAGCAGGAATGACAGCCAGTCAAACATGCTACTATCCTCACTAACAGTCATTACTTTACACGCGCGTGTGTTAACCCTGAAGACAGGACCGGAGGTGTTCATTAATGTGACTAATATGTGACTACGGGACAGTCGTCTACATTACGGCGCGGAGCATGTGAGGCTGTGGCCATATTGACAGCTCTCGGCGGAAAAAAACTCGGCTAGCTCCGCCTCTCCTGTCAACCCGGGGCGTTGATTGGTCAGCAGCTCCGTCAATCATCTAACTTTTCCGACTGAAGTTTGTTGAGCGACGCAGCAGATATCAGGCTACAGTCTACTAATACATTTCCCTCCATATTGTCCCCCAGACAGCCTACATACCATTTCCGCACCTTCTCGATGGCTGCCAGGACCTTTTTAATGTCATCTTTAGCCCGACTTCGGGTCTCAGCGCGGCCTGATCGTCCCGACATCTTGATGCTGTTATGATTCATCTACAGATGCATCTGAAAACTTCAAGACCAAGCCCCAGTCCTCCGTTACAGTGGTAATCTCGCGAGATTTCGTCGTCCTTTTTTTTCTTCTTCTTCTTCTTCTTCTCTTTTTTTTTCTTTCTTTTTTTCCTCAGTATGCTAATACTGTATGTACTGTAATGATTTAGTGTCGTTTATTTATTTATTTTATTTGTCATATAATTATTCATCTACATATATGACAGATGTAGTTTCTAAAATATTTCAAGATTAATTTTAAAATACATTGTTAAAAATAAAACCAGTAATTCCCATCCTTTTTGGCCTGTGGCCCCATAAAAAAATAAAAAAAAATAAAAAATAGAGCTGAAGGATATGGAAAAAAATCTAAAAAAAAAAAAAATAGAAATAAAATATATTGAAATTATTTTTACAGATATAATTGCGATATGAGTCACAATTTTACAGAGAATTGTAATTTCTATTTTATTTTTACTAAATATAACATAAAAATGATGTGATTTTTGCTGGGGCCTGTACCAAACAAGCTTGTTCCCTTATGTCTGGAATATGATTTGTAGGCCGCAACTCCCTGTAGCACCACAATGCCTCATTTATAACGGTATATTGTGACAACTTTTACCTCTATAAGAGAAAAAAAAACTGCAGCTCATGCAATTTTGGATATTGCACATTGTTGTAGTTTTGATCATATTTTTTGATTAATTGTGCAGACCTGCAAAAAGAATCTGGTTGGTGTCTTTTTTAGCAGCTCCACCAAGGAATTATTTCCTCTCCAGACTTCTCAGAAGGTTTCCTTCAGATAATAGTTTGGGGACCAAAGAGAAAAATTCAAATATTACACAAAAAGCAAAGATTAGAGTGAGAATATTCCAAAATATGAATACAGATTTGAGTCGCAGAACATTGATTCTCCTCCCCATTAATCATCTCATGACCCCTCAGATTGATCTTGTGACTCTCCGTAGGGGGCCGGGTGTAAACTACCTTAAGAAATATGCTTAAGTTTAGCTTCTTGTATTTGTATTGCTTGCCCTTTTTTCCAGGTTCTGTGGTGGTGAGGTGGTTGTGTGGCTCAGGGTGATGCGTGGAAGCTGCTTGGCATCCTCCCTGATCACATCCTATGATTGCAATGTTATAATGTTGTTCATCCTTTACATGCTACATCTACTGCATGTCTGTTCGACCAGTGAGAGGGATCCCTCCTGATATGCTCCTCCTGAGGTTTCTTCCATTTTTTTCCACTGTTAAAGTTTTTTTGGGTGTTGTCCTCATCTGACAAGAGACCCGAAAGGACAGAGTGTACCGCATCCTGTACAGAGAGTAAAGCCCCTTGAGACAATTTGTGATTTGTGATATTGGGCTATAAAAAGGAAACTGACTTGATTTCCTCCACATCTACCAGCTTCAACAGCTGAATGCTAATTATGCATCAGTATTAAAAATCTAATAATGTGATACATGATAATATGTCTGTCACAGGGACCAGTTTTTAACAATGAGTATTTTTACTTTTGATACTTTGAATATAATTAGCTTATTATACTTCTGTACTTTTACCTAGTGGGATTTTAAATGCAGGACATAACAATAGATTATTCTACATTATGGTATTGGTAATTTTACTTAAGAATTTGAGTCCATTGTCTCTGTATCTGTTTGATTGTGTGCATGAATAAAAACTTCAAGCTGGTCACCCTGCTTTTCTTCTTTATATCTATTTTTAGTGTATATGTGAATGTGACAAACTGTATTTGCCTTTGCTATTGTGTGTCTGCAGACAAAAGCTTGATCCAATGTACATTATATGACTTTTACTTCCTAAGTTTGACCAGCAGATGGCAGCCTTGAGTCGTGCAGAGCAAACTGGCTCCTCCTCTACCTGAGAATGAGATGAAAGGTTGAGTCTGATGCTGTTTGATGTAATAATTATAGGAATGATCACCAACAGGAAATCAGCCATTGCTTGCCTACACTTCAGGGAGTATGATACTCTACTAGTGCTGATCTGAGTGGACTGTGGGTGTTACAGTGTTAAAGCTACAGGGAAAAGCATGTGGTGACATAAAGGGAACAAAGATGTAGCCTGATAAGCTGTCCCACTCAGCAATCAATACCTGATAACATACTGTATATTATCACTGCTCAGATAGTGCTAACAGTGGCACGCTTCAAATCAAAGTATATTGACACTTGGACAAGTTGTGCTGACACTAATCAGCACACCACAAGTGAACTAATATCTTCATTTCCTGCAGAGCATATGGCAAGTACTGTAGTGTCCATGACAGGAATTTGGGCTTATCTACAAAATATATAATATGATGCATAAAATATCATCATTTATTCAAACTTCCGAGGGTTTGACTTGTGGCTGTGTCATTATTCATAATGCTCCACATACTGAAGCGCCTGATTAAATTATAAGAAGTTAAATAGATTCAGACCTCTTGCTCTTTTAATTATTGTGACATTACCAGAGTCAAAGGGTAGTGATTCTGGATATATGAATTGTCTACAACAACAGGCATAATTTCAACAACTATGATGACTTCAGTCTCTACATCTTCTGTGTCTTTTATGTCTGAATTTACTTCTGCAATATAATATAGGCCTACAGCAACAGTCATGTGAGGCTGACTGTTCTTGTGTCTACATTCCCCCACCCTGCCATATTTTTAAAAAGACTCATATGTCATATCTGTGTGATAAGACTGCAGGTGTCTTTTTTGGACCAGGCTATAAAATAAAAAATCCCAACACATTATTGATGGTGTGGGCGGGGCCCTGCTGCAGCTCCAGCCAGTGGTTGACAACTCGGGGAGGAGTCAGTGACAGTTGCCAGAGGAAATATCCAAATCACAGCAACGCTCATCAGCATGCAGCTGAACGGTATCTTCATACCTGCTGCAGGAGCCTGGACATGTTTCTGGGAGGACACTAAAGGCTTCACATACAGGTCGGGTGTGTTTAGTGCAGCTGGGAGCAGAGCTGAGTGTTATAAAGGCAGATATTGTGTTCTGTAAAGCTCCCGTTGTTTGGTGCTTATATCACTTCTGGTTTTTGTGGAGGTCCACATTAAGAGTTAAAGTGTTTGCAGAATATGTTTCCTACAGTTTTTAGATAAAATTCACCATGCATCAAACCAAGACCATATAATGTGGCCTTGATATGGACCCATACATTTTTACAGTCATAATGTATGAATGTATGTAACATGTAAAGTATGATTACTTTTTATTTTTAATTGTATTTTTTTTGTTTATTGTTGTCAATATTATTTAATCTAATTTTTATTTTATTTTATTTTTTTATTTCTTTAGATGCTTTGGCAATAACATATCTTTGTTCACGCTATGACTGTCCAAAATAATCATTAGCAAATGTAATTATAAAGATAAAAAATGTAATAAATTGCAATTACTATTACTTCTGGCTTTATTAATACAATGTCTTGCATCTTTGCTTGTGGTTTGTCCAAGTGCTGTTGCCATCCTCAAACAGATCACGGCTCATAGGCGTTCAACTAACCTTGATGTCTTTATTACATTATATTTGTCAAATAGTCCACATGAACTCTGAGTAAAGTGTCAGTCATTTATGTTGTGCTGCACAGGGGTGTAAGTATAGACAGTGCAGGCAGTGTGATTGCACTGGGGCCCTGGGGTGGAGGGGCCAGCAGAGAGAGTGGGCCCTTGCAATTCATTTAGATTGCCACCTTGGAAATATACCTGTGTTCAAAGAAAAAAAATATCTTTATAAAAGGAATTTTATTGTCATTTGCTGTATATGTCCTCAAAAAGGCAAACCCATCTGTGTCATGTTTTTTAGCAGTCAGTAGCTGTATAAAACTAAATTATATGCTTTTTCTATATAAGTAATAAAATCTATACATATAGTCTAAAAACTATTCAATTAAATTTATAATTTCTTGCTTTCTTTAATATTTTTGTGAGACATGCAGTGATGATCGCTGGGTAATATCCATGTTGATGCTGTCCATTGTCAAGTTTCTATGTGTGTCAAGACAATACATGCACGATAGCGTGCATGAGGGCCTGGCGTAACTCACTATATGCCACTGCTGCATGTGTAATTGAAAATGATGTTTTTCTGTAGGCCGACACTAAGCCTTGTTTCCCCCTTCAAAAAAGCTTGTGGGATTATTGCAGAAATAGGATCTGTGGCAAACAAGCGTTTTTAAGATACCTAAATGCTTTGTTCAGCAAGATGATCTTCACAAATGAACACCACTGTCTTGATCTTTGAAGCCTAAAAGCAACCCCCAGAATAAAAAAGCTAATTTAAGTCCATAAGCGAATGACAAAACAGTTGCATGACTTAACGTTGTCACTGCAACAAGGCTGTGATGATGTTTTGTAGTCTCATTTCGCCACTTGTTAACAACTGCCCTTTTTAAGACAGCTAAAATCTTCAAAATTCGCCAGTGGGGTATTTACCAATGTATTTTACAGCATATCAGATGGATAGATATCAGAAGGAACTTGGACATTCGGAGGGAGCTCACAGTAGAGCCGCTGCTTCTTCGAGACGAAAGGGGTCAGTTGAGGTGGTTCAGACATCTGCTCGGGATACCTCCTGGGCGACTCCTGCTGAAGGTGTTTCGGACATGTCCCACTGGTAGGAGGCCCTGGGGCAGACCCAGGACATGCTGGAGGGATTACATATCTCATCTGGCCTGGGAACGCCTTGGGTCCCCCAGGACGTCTGGGGTACTTTGCTCGGCCTACTGCCTCCACGACCCAGCCCCAGATAAGCACATGAAAATGGATGGATAGATGGATTTTATGTTGTAGAACACAATGTGAAAGTCTCTTAAACTTGTGTTAACCACAGACCTTATTTCAGGCGTCTAACCAAAACCCCTTCAAAAACATGATTACTGTGAGAGAAGGGAACCAGGAGTGGTAAAACTAATTCCTGGGTTTTAGGCATGGGTGCAGATCCCGGGGGGGATGGGGGGGACATGTCCCCCCCAAATTCTGAAAAACACAAATTGTCCCCCCCAATTCTAAATAGCTTAAATGATTGAAATTGAACAAATGTATACAGTAATCCTATATACTGGGAGAAA